GTGACCAGCCTCAAGGGTTTACAGAAGTTCCTGTTCTCTGTGCCTGTGAAAGTAATGGCCACAGAAACCTTTTCATGTCTACTATTATGGTCCCTGAGTCATCACAGCTACAACTAACTGTATAGATCCTGACTTTAAAATGGCATATGGTGTTCTTAAGTAGCTGATTCCCACTTAAATAGGTAGTGTTAACATTTAATGAATCCTTTGCATAATGTCACTTAAACCATGAAGGTGGAACTGTTACTGTTTTCCAGCTACCCATTGAGGAAACTGAATTTACAGGAAGGGCATAATCCAGGTGTGTAATTGTGGCAATCAGGAGGCAGAAGCAGGGGATTCCTATGAGTTCAGGCCACCCTGGCCTACATAGTGAGTTCAGGGCCAGCCTGCACTATATGATGGAACTCTGTCTAAAAAAAAACACAGTTCATTAAGGACTGAAGTTGATTTCTTTCCCATATGTTGTACTATCATGTGGAAGGAGTGGGATTTGTAAATGCATAATTTCTGAATGGAGTAAATCAGCACCAGATACAATTTGGTTTTCATATATAGTTATAATCTGAGATTAAAATCTTTTGGTAACTTTGAGCTTCTACCTACTACTTTTTTTTCTCACTCAGAATTTGAGAGCTTTTACTGAAGTTACACTGGAAGAAAAATTGGTTGACTGGCTGCGAGTAGATACATAATCATCCTGCTTGTGCCAGTTTCCTTTGGTCAGACCTTACATTAGAAATTGCCAGCAAGGTGATCCTTGCATTCCAAGGTACATGTGAGCCTGCTGTCAGATAGGAAACTCTGTCAGATGTGTTAGTTTCACTTGATATGAGACAAGCCTTCTATTTTTTTGACTATTTAAAGTATTTACATTTATTTATTTATTTATTTATTTATTTATTTTGTATTACTGAGAAACAAATAGCAATGAGACAGTTTCAAAACTGATTCATAGGACAGTTTCAATAATTAATACATTGTACATTGTTATCTTCTTAGTGGTTATCCACAGTACAAGATGCAGACACGATATCCTGTCCAAACACTTCAGTACAAATCTTTCTTTTCACTGAATTAAGTGAAAGTAGCTGTATATCTTATCCTAACTATTCTGTATATACAAATACAAAATGATCTTTCCTTTGTATCCCCTTTTTTTGTTTAGTCCTATGAGATGGGTATTCCATTGGCATTTAAATAGTATAGGTGCATGAATTCAGCAAAACAATCCAACACAGTTCAGCAGTCCACAATAGTAGTGGGTTATCCACAGAAGTTGTTGACTTGAGCCTTTCACAGCTCAGCATATTAATATGGCTTTACTTTATATACCTTGTTTGTATACTTTTCTGCTGGATGGTTAAAACCAAGATAAAACAAGACCTATATAACAAGAAATGTAACTTTTGTATCTCATAAGGTCAGTCAAATACCCTCAGAATTTATCCTGTAACCCTGTATCACACTTTGTAGATCCTTTGTCAGTGTCAGCTATGTGGATGAGTTATGACCATTGCTTGACCAATTTGCTCTCGAGACAGGCCTTCTAGATTGATTGATTGATTGATTGCTTTTTGTATTTTAGGACAGGGTCTACCAGGTCTCACTCCGTATATTGGGCTCATTGTTATTCTCCTGTTTATAGCCTCCCAAGTGCTGGGATTACAGGCACATGTCACCATACCTAGTCTGAATCACCATCTCAGCATGCCCCATCTCAGCATGACGGGCCCAGGGATCGAACTCCCTGCCCCTGCATCTGCCTAAGTAGGCGCTTTAGTAGATGTACTTTTTGTACTTTTCTTAGTACAAAACAGGGAAGTATAAACACCCATGCAGGGAAGGTCTGTGTCTAAGAGAAGACCATTGTGAACCTCAGATTTAAATCCAATCCATACTCCAAAACCTACATCCTCTCTCAGTTACATCACATTTTTCAGTTGCCCATAATTATTGCATTGGAGATGATATATTCTCAAGCAGAAACCACAGAGCACAGCATCTCCTGTGCCAATGTGTGGTGGGCACCTGGGAATCCCCTTGTTAATTCTGCTATTTGGGAGCTTCTGGTTTAAGGGCCAGAGACTGAGGACTGTATCTGCCTTATTCCCTGGCTGGCAAATGACTGGGTCAAGTTCAGAAATGCTTCTTAAGTGTACATTTTAGGAAGAACTTATTATTTGGTATTAGGAAGGCCAAACCTTTGTAGAATACACTGTCTTTGTTTTGAACAAAAGTTCTGAACATGTCTGACACTAGAAAATGTGGCTTTCCCAGAGAGTCTGAGCTGGAGGCTGGGCGTCCTCGTGAGTGTATAGCGTCATCTATGTCTCCCCAGGCTCCAGCATTGTGCAGTCACTAACCCTGGTGTCAATGTATTGTCTATACTTTCTTTGTGAATTTCTTTCAGGGGGATGGGAAGTCCACACATTAAATTAAGTATTGCTTCTTCCTTTCCTTGAAACACTAAACTGGTTAGAGAAAGTTTTGAGATGAATGGTTTCAGGCAGGCACCCCTTTGGGCAGTGTGTACCGTGAGTTGTGCCTGGTGGCATAGAGATGAAGCCAAAGTTTTCTGTCTTCCTCTTGGTCCATGTTAAACAATCTACCTGTTGGTGAACACTAACCACATTGCCTGGGGAGCTCCTTGTCCTTAGGGATCAATAGTTAGTCTAGGTTTGGCTGAGTTCCCACCCAGGGGCCGGCTTCACCCTCACTGTAGAAGCCTCTCTTGTATCACTTTGAAAGTGCCACTTCTTTTTCTAAATCAAAACACGGAGTAGCGTATCATGCATTTGTCATTAGAGACCAGGACCTTGTCTGTGCAGTGTTGGTCTGTGTGCAGTGGGGCTGTGGTGCTGGGTGCTGGTGCCAGGCTTCTTCCTGGCACAGATCTAACCTCTTCTTGCCAAGACCCTCATTTTGTGCATTTCACAAGAAGCAGTTTTTGTTAAATGCATTAATTATTTTATGTGGCATAATAATAACAAACACAATTTCCAAGATGTTCTCTGGTGACTGGTTTCTGCGCATGGTGGATTGCTAACTGGTGGTCAGCTTGTTACACCCTGCTGAACTGAACTAGCATGTGGGAGGCCTACCTAAGGATTGTTGCTAGCAGAAGAAGAGGCAGAACTAGAGATGCTGTTGAGAGGCTGTTAGGGAGACTTTTTGGAGAAGCTGTTTGAGCTGATGGAAGCTGCTGCTTCTCTTGGGCAATTCTGCTGGAGGAACTTGTCATAGTGACTTTCCTGATGAACTTGGCTCTTCTCAACAGAGGAGGAGCTCGGGACCTCATTATCGCAGAGAATGTCTGTTGTCCACTTTGAGGGAACTTTGGTCCTTATCTTGAACATTGCTTCTTGGCTCTGGAGGGAAAATGGTGCACTGCTCACCCTCATGGAGAAGCTGGTTATGTTGGCTTTCCTAATGGGAACGCAGCTCTCCTTGACCTCAGAAAAACTTGGCACCTCACTGTTGCTGAGGATGGCTGTACTTTTAGGGGGAGCTCTGGTTTTTACCTTAGGCATTTCTTCCTGGCTCCAGTTCAGATCCCTCAGCCTGCTAGCACAGATACTTCATCCCACTGGCACAGAATTTCTAGCTTCCACCACTGACTGTTGGGCCTTCCAAGTGCAGATCTGTGAAGTAGGCCTTCATGAGACATTGTTGTGGGTGGCATTGTTATGTGTTCTTGGATTTCAGCTGGGCTTATGCAGGATAATAGGATCCAAGCCCTTAGCTGGGTTCTTTGGTCTTCAGTGTGTGGACAGATTTCCTGCACCCCTTTATGTGATTATTTGGGTGATTATAAAATAATCTTGTAAAATGTGTCCTGTATTGTATTTTTCCCATTTGTAAAAACTCAAACCATGACAGTGTGTTCAAGTTTTAGATTGTTACTGCCTTTTTGACCATTCTCCTGATTTTTGCAAAAGAGGATTGGCGGGACACAGCATGATGTAGGTCAGAGAAGATGTGGGGTTAGGAGTGTGACTTGGATTTAAAGGTGAGGTTTACTGGATAAATGAGGGATCTGTAAGCAGGGGGAAGGAAAACTCTGCCTACCTCCTCTCAAGAACACAACCAAGAGAAGGATGAAAATCTTAAAGGCCACCCATATTACAATGCCTGTTGACAACAGTTGTCTGCACCAAATAGCATAATACTATTTATGGTTTATTGATAAGGCTTCTAGGGCTTGTGAGGGGGTCTGGAATAGGATAATGTAAAGTTCATAGTGGATGATCTGTTGAATGATGAACTTGTAAACCTCAGAATGCTTTCATGATGGAAGGGGAAGTAAAAAGTGGTAGGATATGATTTATATATGTACCAACTTCTATAACGAATGTGTTTCACTATGTATCATAAGTGTACCCTAATGAAAAATACACTTAAAAAGAAAAAAAAATAAATCTGAGTTTAAAATTATTTAATCTTAGACATGGAACTTCCTTGTACCAGTTTTTTTTTCTTACTTGAAAAGTGTAGAATTTAGTGTTGTTATGATTAAAAATGTATGTGTAGTACTATAAGGTACTGAGCATAACTTACAGACTTATTGTAGGAGTGACATGAGGTGGCTTTTTGGCATTAGTATAAATTTTAGGATGTCTATGGGGAAAAGATGAAAAGAATACAAAATTTCTTCATAATAGCAGCCTTAAAAAAGCTTGTAGCAAATGCCATTTATGGCCGTAAGTTATTTGGTTTTATAACTTGATTTTTAAGCAAGCCAGATATAATTAATAGAAACTTTTATTATATTTATATTCATAGTACAGTACATTTTTAAATATTAAGAATAGATTCATTGAGTTACATAAGTACATTTGGAACATGACTTGAGTTCTCAAAATGTATTTATGAGATGTTTCAGGAATGTACTTAGGTAGACTGAGGCACACTGTGAGGTGGGTACTTCATACCTATGTTACATCCTTCTGTGTACTCTTACTCTGAAGGGTCCTACAGTTCTGTTTTTTGCCCAACAGATTTACCAGTGAGGAGGCACAGAGAATATGAGCTGGTAACTCCAATCAGCACAAATCTAGAAGGACATTTTCTCTCTCACATCCTGTCTGCAAATCACAAAAAGAGGTCAGCGAGGGATGTGTCTTCCAACCCTGAGCAATTGTTCTTTAACATCACTGCATTTGGAAGAGATTTTCATTTGAGACTAAAGCCCAACACTCAGCTAGTAGCTCCTCGGGCTGTCGTGGAATGGTATGAGACCTCTCCTGTGGCTGAGAATGTAACCAATCCTGTGAATGACCATCAACCTGGAAGTGCTTCAGAAGGAATTTGGAGAACGGAGCCTTTGCAGACTAACTGTGCTTATGTTGGTGACATCATGGATGTTCCAGGAACCTCTGTTGCGATTAGCAACTGTGATGGTCTGGTAAGACTTATTCTCATTGTGCATGCGTGCATGTGTATGCACACTCACAGGTGTTGGGGTGCAGTGATTCTTTGGCATAGTTTGGAATATGGCAGTACAAAGGAAGCCTGAAGTTCGTTGTTAGATTTTAAGTTTGGAGAAAAGCATTAGCAAACATTTTCCTGTTAAAGGTTTTGCATTCACTTCATCTAAGACAACATGTTGTCTTCAGACAACATTATCTGAGAAACAATACACAACTATTCTAGCATGTTTTGCATTTTCTGTTGGGTTATATTGGGAGATTTTATTTCCTTATTATTTAAAAACTTTCTGAAAACTTCGTAAAGAAACAGATTCCTCCAGAAGGACTGTGTTTCACTTGCTATGTGGAAACTTTGGTTATCATTGTGAGGTATTTGGAAAGTGTTCTTTAACTTTTTAATGGAATGCTGAAGTGGGAAATGCACAGATTTCTTGTCAGAATTTGTCTAAATGGGGTTGAGGAGATAGCTTGGCAGTCTAAGTGCCAGCCTGGCTAGCACAAGGACCTGAGTTGATCCCTCGTACCATATGCCATGCTGGCCTCGGGACCCTGGGTGTGCTGTGCCAGCCCCAAAACTGGGCATGATTATGCACACCTGTAATCCTAGCTCTGGAGAGGTTGAGGTAGGAGGATCACTATGAGTCCAAACTGTATAGCAAGACCCTGTATCAAAAGAAGAAGAAGGAGAAGGAGGGGGAGGGGGAAGGAAAGGGGGAGCGGGGGAGGGGAGAGGAAAGACGACAAAGAGTCCAACGAAGACCAGGCATGGTGCGCACACCTGTACTCCCAGGGGTGGGGAGGCTGAAAACAGGAGGATCATGAGTCCGAGCTTCATAGTGAGACCCTGTGCCAAATACATTAAAAAAAAAAAAGTGCCCAAGTGACATGACTTTATGAACTTGAAATGTAGTTCTGTGGTTGCTTTCTTTCTTTTTTTTTTTTTTTTCTTTTTTTAAGTAAAATGCCCATATATTGATTTTTAGTTTTGTGCTGAGGCCAACAGTAACCAATCCTCCTTTCTGACTGTGAAGGTACAGTGTATTCTTCTGGTTTTGTTTGCTGTCACTTGGGAATTTTGTCAGTGTTCATGCATCTCCCATGCACAGCTGGCTCAAGGTCTTTATTCAGAAAGAATAAATTTTTCCCATAGTTTTTGGGTGGCTCTTCCTTGGAAATTCAGACCTATTGCTATTATAAGACTGCTGCTTCCAGGAGTTCTCAAAATATCCTATGCCTTAAAATAGTTATTCTGTGTTGGTTGCTGTTTGACTTCAATGTTTTGGTTTTGTCTTCTAGCTGTACTTTTGCCAGTATAGGCCATATGTTTTCACAAATTCTGGTGAGTTAATTGTGTTTTAGGCTTTATTTTTGCAATCTTGGGCTAACTCTTGACGCTTGTAGTTTTTAGAACTCAAGGCAGGAAATTGTGTAATATGTATGTATCAAGTCCAGGTCTGTTTACACTGTGTTAGTTATCTTTCCCCTTACACTTACCTAGACCATCTTCTGGCCTTCAAGATATAGAGAATCCCTCACATTCTTATTCTGTATAAAAACTTGAGTAGACCATGATTAGTTTAAGTCTTTGAATTAAAAAGAAAACCAGGACTTTCTAGAAAAGAAGACTGAACAAGTTTGGATTCAAGTGTTGATGAAGAGGAACTTTGATTCAGGATTACAGTATGAATGAACATTGTACATAATGGTATTGTTTTATAACATTTGAGTGATATTTTATAGAATTAATCCTGTATTTGTTTTTAATTTTATAGCATAAAAATTCTGTACATACTTGAGTTAAGATTTGAAACTTTGGGTATTGGCTTGAAAATTAGTGTAAGGAAGCAAAAATGAAGTAATTTTAGTGGATTATCACAGTTATGTTTAAATTTAACTTAATAATCATTTTTTTTACCATATGTGTCAAATCCTCTAGTCAGAGATACAGAAATGTAGAGAAATAACAAGTTTTTTTTTAAAGAAAAGGGATATGAAGTATGAGAGAACATTGTTAGCATTAATTTTTTTAAATGAAACATTTTTCATTTTG